GAGAGGTACAAGAAGAGGTTTTCCCCTAGATTAGGTCAATTGAGATAGCGGTGGTGAGGCCAAGTATGCTTTTAATTCGTCAAAGGCCTTCTGGCAATCCTCTGACCATTGGAAGTCTTTTAACTATTTGATATCCTAGAAGAAGGGTAAGAACCTATCGACCGACTGAGACATGAATCAGTTGAGGGTTGCGGATGTGGCTAGTGAGCTTCTGAGTCTCCTTGATCAATCATAGGGGCTCAATGTTAAGGATAGCTTGTATTTTCTCAAGATTGACTTCAATTCCTCATTGAGAGACCACAAATCTGAGGAATTTTCCCGATGTGACCCCAAAGGCACACTTGGTGGGGTTCATCTTTATGTTGTACTTCCTGACACGCCAAAGTTTCATCAGTGTTAGTAATATGTTGGCTTGATTTAAGGCTTTATACAATCATGTTGTCGACATAGGCCTCAACATTTTAGCCAATATGTTCCTTGAACATTTTGTTCACCAACTTCTAGTATGTGGCTTCAGCATTCTTCAATTCGAAAGGCATTACCTTGTAGCAGTAGGTTCCATACTCAATGATGAAGGATGTCTTCTTTTCATCGTTAGGATGCATCCGTATTTGGTTGTAGCCTAAAAATGCATCCATAAAGCCCAAAAGTTCATAACCTATCGTAGCATTGACCAAGTGATCTATTCTTGGAAAGGGAAATTTGTCTTTAGGGCAGGCTTTGTTAAGATATGTGAAGTCAATGCATATGCACCACTTCCCATTAACTTTCTTAACCATGACCACATTAGATAGCCATTTAGGATAATGTACCTCTTTGGTGAAATCTGAATTGATTAACTTGTCCACCTCCTCTCCAATCACTTCTCAACCCTTCGATGCAAATTTCTTCTTCTTTTGCCAAACCAGCTTACAACTCGGGTTCATGCTCAGCCTATGAGTAATGACCGATGGGTCAATTCCTAGCATATCAATGGTAGACCAAGCAGATATGTTGGTATTGGCTTTAAAGAAGCTTACTAATTTAGAAAATTTGTCCCAAGGGAGGAGAGACCCAACTTGTACTATTTTCTTGGGCTCAGCCTTGTCCAAGGGAACTAAGGTGAGGTCTTCTAAGGGATGGCCTCGACTGGAGAGTTCATCCCTGAGGTCAAGCCCTTCTGCTAGTAGGGATGCTTTATTCTTGCCTTTTAGTGTTGCAATGTAGAATTGTCTGACTGCCTACTAGTTTCCCCTAACCAACCCTATACCATGCTCCATGGGGTACTTCATAATGAGGCGGTATGAAGATATGATGGCCTTGAGTGCATGAAGGGTCAGCCAACCAATGATGGCATTGTAGGGTGAACCGACCTTCACGACCAAGAACTCTATCATTCGAGTAACGTGTCGAGGTTATATCCCTACTGTCATATGTAAGGTGATTCTCCCTTCCAGTCTCATGGCTACCCCAAAGAGTCCAGCTAATGGCACATCAATAGGTTGCAGTCGGTCTAAGGTCAACTGCATCTTCTCAAATGCCTCATAGAATAGGACACCAACTAAAGAGCCGTTATCTATGAGAATCCTTCTCACTTCATAGTTGGTGATTATCATCGAAACCACCAATGCATCATCATGAGGTGTGGAGACCCCTCTTAAATCGTCATCAGAGAAGGAGATGAGTTCCTCCAGCCTCTGATTCTTTGGGGTCCTGTGCTCAATGCTTAACTATCAAGAATAGGCCTTCTTGGCCAAGGTGGTTTCACCCTCCACAGCCAAGCCACTAGCAATGACTTCGATAACCCTTGCTAAAGTTCGGTTAGGCTAGGGTCGGTCGGTGTTGGTGCTGACAACAACACTAGTACTTCACTACTGACATAACCTTTTAAATGTCCCTATTGGATAAGGGACTCAATCTCATTTTTGAGATCACAGTTAGGGATGGCAATTTCCCCCGTAAAACTAAGGCCCCACTCTGCCCCGCACCTAACGGGGTATGGACGGGGAAAACATTTTTTCCCTGAATCGGGGATGGGGCAAAGATGGGTTTTGTATATAATTCCCTGAACCCGAAGGTAAAATTAGTAAAATATCTCTAGGTTTAATATTGATATCTAAAATATCTCTAAGTTTTCCCTAAATTCTTAAAACCCTAGAATCCCATAATTTCATTTTTGAAGTACCTCCAAAGTATTATAATTCAATTCCTAAAATACCCCAAAATTCCTATATTATATGTGTAAATTTTCCACAAACCCACCCTACCACCAAGAATGAGGCAAGGATAGGGAAAAGTATCTTGACTTTGGGGCGGGGACGGGGAGGGGGTACCCCACCCCAAACCCGCCCCATTGCCATTCCTACTCATAGTAGTCTTTAGTGTCGTGGCCTGTGTCGCAGTGATACTTGTAGTACTATTTGGGATTTTCCTTTCTGGGGTTCCTTTTCAACTTGGTGGGTCATTTCATATATTCCCACTTCCCTACTTGCATTAGGATATGGGTTCGAGAAGCATTCAATGGAGTGTATTTGTCAAATGATGGTGTTGGCGGCTTCTTGTCACGGTTCTTGCTATTGAGACCGTCGGTTAGTCCATCTCTGTATTTTCTTTTTTCTTGTTGGGGCCAACTTTTGGATTTTGCATATGCTTATTGGCCTCAGCCTCCTCATCCGCTATGTACCTTTACACCTTTTTAAGGAACTCGACCTTGTTCTTAGTTGGTGGCTTGAAAATAGACCAATTGAGAGGTCCTAGGTGGAGGCCGCTGATGGCGACAGCCATGGACATTGAGGGGTCGAGGTCTTTAACCTCAAAGTTCCTCTTGGTTGAATAGCTTCTTGTATGCCCTAAGGCTCTCCCCAAGCTTTTGCTTAACGGACATAAGGGAGATGACAGTCTTTTGGCACTATTGGCTGCTCACGAAGTGAACGAAAAAAAGGTTTGTGAATTGGTCCTAAGAGTTGATGGACCAAGGGGGAGCATGGAAAGCCATCTGCATGCGGCTCCCTTGAAAGTGCCCTAAAAGGCCCTACACATTAAGGCATCGGAGTACCCATAAAAGAGCATTAAGACTCGAAAGCTCTCCCAAGTGGTCCTTCAGACCGTACTCCCATCATACGTCACAAGAGTGGGCACCTTGAAATTTGCCAAGAGTGGTTTTGAAGTAATGGAGTCATTGAAGGCCTTCGTCCAACTAGACGAGGTCGGCTGACTAGTGCAGACATCACCCTTGCCCCCCTTGACCTACCTGATCTTGTCTTGAATGGCGTCGATTTGTGTTTGGAGGCTTCTGAGACGCTAATCAATCTAAGGTATCAAGACCTCGGCTTGTTCACGGGGTTCTCTCACTTGGTGAGGTCCATATAGTTCGTAGAGTATTCTGAATCGGTTGGATACTGGGCTCTATGTGCATGACGATCGTTCAAGTGATCGCAAAGGTCCAAGACCTATGGGGGAGAGGCGTGGCATCGACCAACTCCCGACCAATGAGGGGAATTGTGGTGACCTGAACGCCTGTCGTCGTCCTTGCTGCAGTTGGAGGCAATGTGGTTGTTTAGATTGTCACGGACTCGATCCCCACCAACATGTCCGCCTAGACGCTGGCTTACTAAGACTAGGGAAGATCTTCTGCCACGTTGTTCTTGGGTCCTAGCGGGGCAGCCATTTTGTGGAAGGCCTCCTTTCGGGTGTCGTAATTCATCCAACTATTGGGCCAAATGGTCCAGACATTGAAGTACAACGTTGAACTGCTCATGTGCGACCATATTTTGAGCAGTTGGGGCATTATCTTGGTTAGCAGCCACTATTGGAGTTTTTTAGAGTTTTCTTAAAAGGAATATATTAAGTCATTTTCCACAAATGGCAATAATTATTGCTGCCAAATCTGAAGTCGAAGGTAGGATAGTAATTTTTGAGTTTTAAAGATTGTGAATCCCACCTACGAAGAATGAACCCAGGAGTGTTCCTAAAGGACAAAGACTCTAGCAGAGGACTCAAAGTAAATCTGAGATCACAGCAAGAGAGTAAGTGCTAGCTCGACTTTTACAGTCGGAGTCACCTACGAGAGGAGTGATGAGGAACGAAACCACCCTGTAGATTGAAGTCACGTAGATAGGAGCCAAAGAGGCGTCCACCGACCATGACCCTTCGTAAGTATGTCGAGAGTAAACGCATTAAAACACACACACACTGGCTCATCGCGAGAATTACCCTGCTGCCCTTGGAGGAATATGGATTGACAGGAGTACCCCTCGACAACGCCACATGTCGAGGTCAGGTCCATGTGTCCACCAAGTATGGCCAGACACGCCATCGTCAACACTATATAAGGGAAATTCACGTAAAGACCGTACAACGCTCAGATACATGAATCCAACGGTTGGTAGGCCGGACTCAAAAAGGAACCCAGAAGATTTTCCGATGAGGCATTCCGAAACCACACTCCGCCAAAACAGACAAAACCCGTTTCGCTTCGCTTTTTATTTTTATGCCTAAACTAAATCTCAACAAACTAACATTTGCTAATTGCTACAACAGTAGTGTCGTAGCGCCGCGCTGACACAACAAATCAAAACCTTTGATCCACTGCTGTGGCCCCACCCTAACCTTTGAATAAGATGAAGTGACATCTTGCGCTGCGACCCCTGTCGTAGCAAAAAGTGAACTCAAATTTTAATAATTGCGCTACGACTCCATCAAGCACGTCCACATACAATGTATTTGCAAAAGCCCRAGTAGGTTTACCTACGGGTCTATCCTACCGTGCTCACCATGCGTAATGCGCTCGATCTCCACTTGGCTTGGCAGTTGGCACTTTGGTGATGTCATGTGTATCTCTGCCTATCTGGTTAATGCAGGTCTTAAATCACGTACTTGCGTACGTTAGCGTTGATCATTGTGTAAAACTAAAATGTATACGATTATTCGAGTCCAACTTCGCAAATCGCAACCACCCAAACAACAATAAAAATTATCCGACACGTTTGGCCGGTAGAAAGATTCCGACCAGTGAGTGTGGACAGTCTGAGATTCTGTGCTTCAAAACCCTACCATTTTCTGCTGCTGCCGTTGCTTCTGGCTCTGAATCGGAGCTCGTCAACTCTTATTGTTGTCTGTGATGGCTACGTCGGTAGGAGCTACGAATGCCATTGTGTTGAACGAGCCGCAGCTTCGGATTCAGCGGTTCAATGGTTTGAAACCGTCTGGATTGGTTCCGCTGAACAGGTGCGTCCATGTTTTTCCGGCTTCGGTGTCGAAATCTTCTCCTGTAACTGCTGTCTCAACGGTGAGGATTCTTGGGTTACTCCATTGAGCTTGGATATTTAAGTCTTGGTTTTGTTCTGTTTTAGTGATGTATTCTTGTCGTGGATGGAATTTTTTTGTGATTCGATGGATTAGAAATTTGCTCTCTTTTTTTTTTTCATTTTCGGAAATCTTTCTTCGGTTTTGATCAATTTGAATGAGCTGTTTCTGACGGAGATTAAAAAGAAAAAAGAAATCTTTTTTTTAAAACGGTCGATGGAGGATATAGTCATTATGTTTTTGTTTCTTTATAGAAAGGCTGAATGAAATTTCAAGTATGAGCAGTTAGTTTTAGGTTATATATATGAACAAACCGTTGTCCTATTAGGTTTTGCATCTTGGATTAATTGCAGTAAGTGAACAAGAAACATATCAGGGATTTCTAATAATTGATCTTGGCATCTTGTTGCCCTCTGCAGCCAGTAAAGCAAGACACTTCCACTGAGACTAAGCGTAGCAAGGTTGAGATATTCAAAGAACAAAGCAATTACTTGAGATTCCCTCTCAACGAAGAGCTACTATCAGAAGCCCCTAACATAAATGAAGCTGCCACACAATTGATCAAGTTCCATGGAAGCTATCAGCAGTATAACAGAGATGAACGTGGTGTTAAGTCATACCAATTTATGCTCCGAACAAAGAATCCTTGTGGTAAAGTCCCAAACAGGCTCTACTTGGTCATGGATGATTTGGCTGACCAGTTTGGAATTGGAACTCTTCGTCTGACAACCAGACAAACATTCCAGCTACACGGCGTTTTGAAGAAGGATCTCAAGACAGTTATGAGTACTATAATAAGAAACATGGGTTCAACTCTTGGTGCATGTGGTGACCTGAACAGAAATGTCCTTGCTCCTGCAGCTCCGTTTGCAAGAAAAGATTACTTGTTCGCACAGGAGACTGCAGAAAACATTGCTGCACTTCTGACCCCTCAGTCTGGTTTCTACTATGATATGTGGGTTGATGGAGAGAAAATTATGTCAGCAGAGCCTCCTGAAGTAGTGAAGGTCCGTAATGACAACTCATATGGAACAAATTTCCCTGATTCTCCAGAGCCCATCTATGGTACTCAGTTCTTGCCAAGGAAGTTTAAAATTGCAGTCACTGTGCCTACAGACAACTCTGTGGATATTCTCACTAATGATATTGGTGTGGTTGTGGTCACTGATGCTGATGGGGAGCCTCAGGGATTCAATATTTATGTAAGTTTATCATTTGCATTTTGCATTTTTTTCTAGTTTTATCTCTTTTCAATCCTTTGTAACAAATGTTGGAAATAATTTCTATTACAGGTTGGAGGCGGGATGGGAAGAACTCATAGATTGGAGACAACATTCCCTCGTTTGGGAGAACCACTTGGCTATGTGCCAAAAGAGGATATATTATATGCTATTAAAGCAATTGTTGTTACACAGCGAGAAAATGGGAGAAGAGATGACCGAAAATATAGTAGAATGAAATATCTGATCAGCTCATGGGGGATTGAGAAGTTCAGAACTGTTGTTGAACAATACTATGGGAAGAAATTTGAGCCCTTCCGAGAACTACCAGAATGGGAATTCCAAAGTTATTTGGGATGGCATGAGCAGGTTCAGTCTTACCAATTTAGATTCTTGATGACTGTCTTTAGGGTGGATCTATGTTATTTATCATTCAGCTGAGTAACTTGTTGGTAGCAAATCTGACATATGGGATTATGTTAATTGTGATTTATTTCTTGCCCTTGTTCTTTCATGAAGGATCAGGTGTTATGTTGCAGGGTGATGGTGGTCTGTTTTGTGGGCTCCATGTTGATAATGGTCGTATTAAGGGAAACATGAAGAAGACTTTAAGGGAGGTGATTGAGAAGTATAACCTAGATGTGCGCATCACACCAAACCAGAATATTATCTTGTGTGACATTCGCCGTGCTTGGAGGCGTCCTATCACAACAGCTCTTGCACAGGCTGGGCTACTGGTAAGATATTTATACTTTGATGATACAAGGTAATAATTTTTTTTTGTGACATAACTATCTTAATTTTGGAATCAATTTCTTAAAGTTAACTTTACTGAACTGAACAGTGTTCAGATCTTAAAAGATCAAGTATGTTAAAGTTTTGTTGAATCAAATGACAAGTCAGGTAAGGCAAGTTAAGACTATTAATAATTGAAAATGAAGAAAAATATAAACAAATCTTAGAAACAAACAAAAAGAAAAGAAAAGAGAAAAGGTTGAAAAAAGAATACTATAACCATAATTTGACCCTAGTAATTAAATGCATGGTCAGTAAAATCAATGCCAAAATCCATGGTGTGAACAGGGTAGAATGATATTCAGAGTTTGTCTAGTGTCCAATTGAGGAAACACGATTCTTTATATGAGAAAGAAAAAACAACTGATTATAAGGAAGCATCTATTATTTAATATGTTCTTTCAGTAAAAAGATTAGAATTTTAGTGTACCAAATGCAAAACCCCAATTCGATGGTTCATGGAATAGCAAAAGAAATCAAAACAAGGAACTAAAATAAGAAAAGGAAACTTATAAAAAAAATGGRTTGCCATCACTGTTTTTATAACTGGACCGGACTGGAAAAACCGGGAACCAGTCACCTGACCGGTTCCATTTTCCTCCAAAACCGTTGATTTTGGTCAGCAAACCGCTGAACCGGCCGGTTAACTGTTCAAATGGTTTTGACCGTTTTCCCATTTTTTTATTTTTTTGTCAGAATGGGCCGACCGTTCGGGTCGAACAGTCGGACCGTTCGAACCGGTAACYGGACCCCTGACCGGTTCGGTCACCGGTTCGTTTTTAAAAACCATGATTGCCATGATGAGGGGAAAAGATATCTTCTTACATTGGTTGAGGGTACGTGTTGGTTTTGGAAGCCTTTCCGGGTTGGTGGGATAACTAAACTGCCAAGAGAAATTATCAAAAAAAGAAAGAAGAAAAGAAAAGAAAACTGAACTGCCGAGAGAACAGCTCCCATTCTACTAGTTGGACAGGCCAGACTGGCCGGTGTGTGTTYCCAAGGCATTGGTTTCAGCGTGGGAAATTACTCAACTTCTAAAAACATGATTGAGCTGGAAATGGTAAAGGGAGGCAATTAAATATGTACTAAACAAGCATTATAATACATCTTGTAAGAATTTTCATGAAATCTTTAAGTAGAATTTGTAGAGGTTTTGATGTCCTTTTAGGGGTTTCCTTTAATTTATCATCTTACAATTTTCTTATACAATTTCTTGATCTCTCTCTGATACTTGCATTTTGACATTGTTATCTTTCAAAACATAACTTGGAGTCTATGTTGTAATGTAACTTTGGTTGGAATACTATGTAAATTCGTGGTCAAGAAAATTTGACTTGTTTTGCATGTGGGCAGCATCCTAGGTATGTAGACCCCCTCAACTTAACTGCGATGGCATGCCCAGCATTGCCACTTTGCCCGTTGGCAATAGCTGAAGCTGAGAGGGGGATACCTGACATTCTTAAGCGGGTTAGAGCTGTATTTGATAAGGTAAATTACTATAACTATCAAGTTTTCTATACTAGTGTTTTAAAGCACAGACCAATTGGAAATATATCAACTGGACATCTAGATTGCAGGCCAGTGCCATTTTTTTTGGTGCTAATAAGCAAACATTCTTTTTATTACAGGTTGGTCTCAAGTACAATGAGTCAGTAGTAATAAGGGTAACTGGATGTCCCAATGGATGTGCTAGGCCCTACATGGCTGAGCTTGGACTGGTGGGTGATGGACCCAACAGCTATCAGGTATGTATAGCACTTGTACAACTGAAATCCGGGAAAAGAAATTCTTAGGTAGTTAGGACTTAGGTTTGTGGCATCACTATAGGTGACATCACAAACCTCTTCATGCAACAGGAGAAACTAAATTGATGTGCTGTCTCTCTGTGAAAACAGATTTGGCTTGGGGGAACACCCAATCAAACGTCACTAGCAAAATGCTTCATGGACAAGGTGAAGCTTCATGATTTGGAGAAGGTTTTAGAACCATTATTCTACAACTGGAAACGCAAACGACAGGCAAAGGAATCATTTGGCAGCTTCACAACTCGTATGGTGAGATGCAAAACTATTTTTCCCCTCTTTTACACCTTTGGGCCATCTGCGGAACTTGGAACATCTTATTTAGGTTGTGTATGGTACATTACTGTTTCTACCTGAAACATCAATTTGACATTTCTATAAGAAGCCTCCCACCATTTTTTAAGGTGTCTGTTTCAACTATAAACATCCTTGAATAACAATTACATGCCAATTTGTATTGATCAACCCAAAATGTTTCAGGTAGAAACAGCAATGGTATCAAAGACAACCTTAATTTATTTGGCTGATCTCAAGGATCAAGAATGTCCACATACATATCCTGATACCTTGAAAATTTCTAGTCCAGTATTTTTTTAGTAGAATCTTGACTACTGATGGATTGATATAGACTTTAATTCTTCTGTTTAGGGCTTTGAGAAACTTAAAGAGATAGTTGAAAAGTGGGAAGGTCCTGTGGAGGCACCAACTCGATTCAACCTGAAGCTTTTTGCTGACAAGGAGACATATGAAGCTATGGATGCACTTGCTAAGCTGCAAAACAAAAACGCTCACCAGTTGGCCATGGAAGTCATTCGCAATTTTGTAGCCTCCCAGCAAAATGGCAAAGGCGAATGACTGTCCTTCGCTTCTACATCCCCACCCCTAAAGAACAAGTATTTTTTTATTAATTTTTATCCAGGGAATGGGTGAGTAGTTATCAAAACTTAAAACTAGATTTTGTGGCCCCTTTTATCGAAGTCGTTGATTGAGCATTTTCAGTTTGTAAAACACGAGCCTGCCCTCTTATTCTACCAAAAGTTATTAGAGCTGAGCTCAAGCCCTCCTCTAGGGTCATTCCCTTAATTTTACGATTGTAGAAGAGAACAGAGCACTCTTATTATAGTTATCGGCTGGGTTCGAAGTTCGATCTTCGGACAGGATTCCATGGATGAATTTGAATTTCTTGGAATTTGAAACTTTAAATTGAAAGAGGCTTCAGCGTCCAGATTGAACACCTCGTTCTGATGGACTTTCAAGGTGGGCCAGTGGCCACAGTGATCGGGTTGAGCGTTTCGTCCCAAAGATCCATGGTTGGCTTACACGGTCAAGAATGGTGTTAAAAGGAATTTGTAATTCGGGGCCTTATTTTCCTATTTAACATGTTTGTGTATCTGGAATGTTTACTTTTGTTGCGTTCTTGAATTTCTAGCCTCACTTTGCTCTCGTAAATCTTTTCGATTACTAATGAAAACTGTTACTTTATCATGAGTTATGGAAAGGTTATGTATTTTAACCATTATAAACAGATAGAACAAAGAAACACACGTCACTATGAAGGAAAATTAACTCATGGTCAAGTAATTAATCCATTGGTCAGATCTGTAGCATACATTGATGGTTCCCACTTTTCACTGGTCTATTCTATMTAATATACAAGATGGCACGTATAATATAACAAACAATCGTTCTCAAATGAGACTTGGGAATGGCTCCTGGTTGCTGCATGGAGAAAGATCCTGTGGGGGTTCGCTTTCCAAGTTTGAAGTTTCGTTTTTCTGAGTGAGATCATCTACGTCCAACAAAGGCTGGTCAGATGCTGTAGGCGCATTAGGTTCATCGTCCTCCAGAGAGAAAATGTGGTGTTTCTCATCGGTTGTGACACCATCATCTCCATTACTGGCACAAGAAACTTCTTTCCTGGTTTCCGTCATGTCATTTAGAAGTGCTTCAAGAGGAGATGTAGCCTTCCAATGTTCTTGGACAACAAATTTTACATCAAGGAGGGGAAGTTTGAAATCCACCATAGGTTGATCTGGAACATGAAGCAACACGTCCTTGTATCCTGCACCCTGGACCTCCATTGCAGTGGTGAATTTAGGTGCAGTAACACCCTTAGTAGTTGTACCTGGATTTCTATCGTCATCGAGCTCCAGGGAAAGATCTCCCTCGGTGAAAGTTCCGTCCACAGTACTGTCATGCCTTTCACCAGCCCGGCTTACGGGAGACTGGTTCTGGATGATGGTTTCATTCCAAGGTACTCTATCTTCAGCCTTTTCCTCATTTGGTGGAACCCCATTACATGTTCTCTCTATCATTTCTTCAATGCTGGTTTCCTTTCCGCCCATCAGATCATCTGTCCTTGTTACATTGCAACTGACTTCTGTCCTATCCTCCTGCCTACAAGCTGCTTCATTGGTAGCTTCAGTAGGGGTGTTATCGGGTGACTGCATCACTTTCACTTCACTCTCTAGAGAAGCAGTGTCACAGGGATCTAAAAATGAATTATTTACCCTCTCCGTGCCACTTTGTTCAACATGTGTGACCAGATCTGCAAGCCTTTCACATGAAATTATTGGTGAAGCCAAATTGTCATTGTCATGATCCTCTTCATTTGGAAAATCAGGAGCACTAATTTTTAAAGATTGGGAAATTTGTGGAGATTGAATCGAAGTTGAAGTTAAGAATCCTGCAAGTGCCAAAGCTAAAGCATCATCAATGGATGGACATGACTTCACTGTTATGGGCTCCTTCAGTGACTCAGAAGAATCACTACAACTCTTAATATCATTGTGATTATCATCATCATCATCACCATTTGAAAATTCAGGAGCTGTAACTACCAGACCTGGAAGAGATTGAGAAGCATCAACTATAGCATTATCAGTTGCAGGTGACAATTTATCAAAATCTGTATCTTTCTCAGCAGATTCCAGACCACCATAACAGCATCTATCATTCCCATCTACACAGGAGCTGGATTCAGATTCATTGCATGAAAATTCAGGAGCAGCAATCCTTGTGCATGAGTACCTTCCAGAAGGATGTGATCTCATGGTAAGGGCCTCCAGTTGCTGCTCCAGTCGCAGGAGCCTCGTCTCCATGCTACTGATGGGCTTCAACATGTTTTCTTCGAACCTAGAACAGACAGCTTCTATTCTGTCCATTCGACAAACCAGCTGATCCAAAATTTTCTCCAAACGACTACAAGGCAAACCATTTTCTTCGATTACAGAATCAGATCTGTGTTCTGTACCTTTCATCTGTGTCTCAGATTTTAACTGTGTGGTTTCTCCAGCAACCCTTCTCACTTCATGCTGCTCAGCTATGCTGGGTTGTGGTTCACAATACTTTGCCATGGCCACAGCCACTTCTTGCATTTTTATTTCCTGTTGATCAGCTATGCTGGATCCAGACAGGGTTGATTCTACAGTAGCCCCAGTTGCACATTGGATTTCCGGTTTCTGTTTATCAGCCATGCTGGATTCAGCTTCCTTTATTATCCTCCAAGTTGAAGGGTTGGTTAATTCAGCTGTCTCTGAGTTACCACCCCAATGATTGTATGTCTCTCTGATATTAGAAACATTCCTTTCTCGTGTTTGGCCAATTCCAGATTTAGATAGCTGCAGAAGAGTGGGAACAAGCATGGCCATTAAAGAACTTCCTGCTGGTTTTTCCATCAGACCCACTTCATGATCTGAATCAGAAGATTCAACAGGATCAGCAAATATGTAAATCTCCTGTAGATGAAGACATCCTTTGGTCTGAAGTGATAGCAGTCGAAGTGTAAGAGATGTGCAGGGGCTTGCATCAGTAATCTCTGCTGTAGCCTCGTAAAGATCCTGAATCATTTTTTCAATCAGAAACAGGATATAATAAAACATGAAATAGAAAATAGAAAATATTGTTTTGCTCAAGTAAGACTGCACAAAAAGTAAAGAAAAATACCTGAATGCTTCGATCCATATTTAATTCATTCTTTTTGGGGAGAAAAGTGGCATTGCTATCAAGTGATGGAGAATCAGGGACCTTAACTTCTACCCAGTCATCTTCATTGGTGCTATTATGACTGCCATTCTTAACTTTCTCTTCTTTCATTGGATTTGCAACAATTGTTTCTCCACTATCATTTGTGTGGTGAACTATTTCACTTTTAGCAACAATTCCACAGCGTACTGTGCAGAGATATTCATTACTGCTCTGCTGGTTGGTTGCATAATATATCTCATATACTCGAGCAGTACTGCGAACATAGACCTGTCGGACTTCATGTTTCTGCCTAAAAATAACTGCAGATAAAGAAATACAAATCATTGACAAGGATATTAAAAATGTATAAGAATGAAGAAGGTATTCATCCTCTCAAATAAAAGAAATGGAAAAGTCAATTGATTAAACACATCAAACAGCAGTCATTCTATTCATGACGACATGACCAAAAAGGATTTTGTGTGGATGATGGATTATGGCATGCTAGATTATAGCAAATGATAAAGCTCAGATAACAAATGGTGGCATTACCCAAAAGTCACTTGAACATTATTGGTACTCCTTGGAACTGTTAATACCATTTAAAAAAACTAAGTCTGGAYTCAATTTTTTTATTTTTTTATCAGCAACTAAACTCTGGACTGATTATTGATCAACAAAACCCTTGACTACTTGAGGATATCTCAGATGCCGGTTTATCCATTCATTCATGCAATCATCATTTTTCAGCTAAACTGACGAGTAACAGATAGAGGCCTAACATCAGCTAATTTGGTATCTTTTTTTATCGATAAAGCTAATTTGGTATCTTATATGCTCAATGAATCAACAGATTCACATTGGCTWTATTATGTTGCCCTAATAAAGGCCTAAATAACCTTTCTAATTCTTTCAGAAATGTCAGCAATTTATGCTTCATAAAACCCAGAAAATTTTCAACACATCAGGTAAAAGTGTAAAACTCCTGGCAACGTATCAGATTCTGACTGCATGTAGTATTCATACAACACTAGTTATTTTCCTTTGTGTCAGAGATCCACAATAGGAGCACAGAATTTCCAAAAAAAAACAAGCATTTTAGGGGGTTGCAAGTAATTTATTTGCTTGGTTGCTTATGTTCTTCCTTATGAATGGCAAGCTGCATCTTTTCCATGTTTGTTTATGTTCAATTCGCCAAATATAGTGTTTCCCCCTTCTTTAGGAGCAAGGCAAAAAAAACCTACCATTGTGTAAGACCTATTTATATTTATCAAAAAAATAAGTCTAAGATCTATTTAAAAGACATCAACTCTTTTTTAGTTAAAAGGCATATGACCATCACCAATTTTTATTTGGCGCATCAAGGGTTGAGGAGATTGGCATGGATCTATGTGTTTGCTCAAATTCATCATCCCTGCTATAAGATTCTCCTTTTAGTGTAGAACAAATTCTAGTTAAGAACAACTTTAGGGCTAAGTACATCATTCTAGGGAAGCTCATGGTTTTTGTCTCCTTGTGCAAAATAAAAAGAGAAACTATAGCAAATATAAAGAAAAGGAATACCACCTCCAAAAATCACCAGAAAGAAGAACACCACCTCCAAAAAGAGGTGGTTTTTGTCTCTTTGAGCATTAATCTGAAAGAGACACCACTTATATACCCTCGTAAACTTGTTACATGGGCAATATTTTTAACAATCTCAAAGAGACTAAACAGGTTGACCTTGTGAGAGGAAAGAAAACTATGTTGAAAGTTGCAAAACAATTAAAAAATATATATACAAGCAACTAATTTGACAACTGATCAAGATAACTAAAGGGCAATATCAAAATTATCTTGGAATTTTTTGGAGAGTATAAATCCAAAGATGTGAATGCTAAGGGCATCTTTGAAGGTTTTTTTCTTTTTCATTAACAGATCAGAGAAAATTTTTATTAGAAACCTTATTTGCCTAGGGGCACATATCTTTGTGCATCCTCTTTTTCTCACAATTAATAAAATTTTCAACAGTTACTCATCAAAAATAAGAAAACTTTTATTAGAGAGGTCTTTCTTCACTGTTGTTGTGAAGGTCTCTTTATCCATGGTTAACAGTGCAATCTATGTTAAATCTTGAAGTAGGAGTTCCAGTGGACTGGTTTTGGGTGGACCCCCCGTTCAAATGAAAATCAATTTGCACAAATTGGACGGACCAATAAAACATATTGAATTGGATCAGTCCAGATTTAATGGTCCAAAGCATTTATTGGATTTGATTGCATGGTTTTCGAACCGTTTTACCCCAAACCCGGTCCCTAGCCAAAAACCATTGAATTGGTCAATGACCCATTGACCCGGGTAGTCGAACCATCAACCCGTTTGACCCGTTCAATGGTTTTCGGCCGTTTTTAAATTTTAATTATTTTTTATTTTTTAATTTTTTTTTGTCGGAACGGGCCATCCGTTTGGACCAGACGGTCGAACCGTCAACCCAAAAACCGGTGGCCAGAACGGTTCCAGTTCCGGGTCCATCCATAATGGATTTAAGTTGGATTGGGTTGGACTGAACCAATATCTATAGAAGATAAGGATACAGGTGTCAATGGACCAGGTTTGGGCTGGAACCAATCTAAATGAAAATCAATTTAAACAGATTGGACAGTCCAAACATTGAATTAGACTGGTCCAAAATGGTCCAGAGTATTCATTGAATTGGACTGGACCTGGTCCATCTGTAATGGACTCATATTGGATCCGATTGGACTGGACCAAATCCGGTCCAAAAGACACCCCTATCTTGAAGGAAATTCCTCCTGTTTTTTCTTTTTTCTTTTTTCTTTTTTCTTTTTTTCTTTCTTTTTACCTATTTATTTATTTATATTTTTAAGGGGGGGGGAACTATTGCTGGATAGTTGTTTCCAAAAGAACACCTTGATCCCATCTTTTGACTTGGTAAGCTTCACCATATTTTACATGGTAAATGGTTCTATGCACCAATTATCTACAATCAGCTTGGCCTTATGAAAACTATTTGCTACAAATTCTAATCCATATTTCACTCCACATATGGCCATATTGTATATTAAACCATAGGCTCCAAAGTCTTGTTTTTCACTACTCCCACTTCCCTAATTCTTGGCCTTCCTATTACCCTTGTAGACCCTTCAACTTGCAACATCCGTTGATCATTGATGTGCATGACTAATCTCAAAATGCATTTCTTTATATTTTTACCTTTTAGCCCCACCACCCCTTAATTCCTTCAGATGCATTTGTTTCTAATTTTATGCTTCCAATTCTCAACAACACTGTCTCATCATCATCATCATCATCATCATCATCTTGGGTAGAAGCATTACATGCACACCTCAATTTTTAGTTGATTCTTTTCCTTGCATCCCAAGTAACAGTGCAAAGGAAATTAGGGAATTAAGTTGTAATATATGTTACATAAACATATATGTAAATTTTTTGTGTGTGTATGTGTGTAAATTTCATGTATGGCACATTTTTCTTGTCATATAGTTGACATGTCTACATAAGATGGGTTATGAGAAAATTTCCCAAATCTTCTCAAGATCCTCCAATCCTTTCCATATTCTGCCAACTATGCTGATTCATAATGACGGTTTGGAGGAGGCAACTTGATTGACATCTTTGTTATAATGGACACTTCAATTTTCAAAATGGGTGTTGTATCCATGTCAAACATGTTTAGACAACATAAGCATGAAATTTGAGGGACCTCTTCAAAATTGGGAGGATAAACCCTTGGGACCAACCCGAAGCTTCTAAGAAAAACCTGCAACCTACTTGAACATCAATAGAACCCCTTGTAGAATTCCCCTCTATTCCTCCCCTTCAAACACTTCCTCCTGCCCATCATCATCCTCATTCCAGGCTTCCAGCTCTCTCCACCTTCCCCTTCTGTGTCTTTCTTCATCCTCTCCTCCCTCTTCTTCTCAAACTCCTTGAAAGCTCTTCTAGCAAACTCCTCCCCACCCCAAAGAAACAGCCCGAGCCCCTTCCCAACCTGAACATCTCTGTTAACAATTTCCTCAAGGGGCAAACTTCCTTGCATCTCCAATCTTCCAGCCAAGGTTCAAAAAATCGATACGATACGCCCCGTATCAGGCATATCGTATCATATCTTTTGGGTCCCGAAACACCTGTAACCAAATTTTGAAAAAAAAACTAAAAAAAATTATTTCCATGTGTATCTAAGTAACGATATGCAGAGGCATATCGATACTTTGAACCATGCTTCCAGCACAGAAGAGCTTTTGAGGAGTTTGAGAGGAGGAGGGAGGAGAGGATGAAGAAAGACACAGCAGGGRAAGGTGGAGGGAGCTGGAATGAGGATGATGATGGGCAGGAGGAAGTGTTTGAAGAGGAGGAATAGCAGGAATTGTATAAGTGGTTCTATTGATGTTTGAGTAGGTTGCAGGTTTTTCTTGGAAGTTTTGGGTTGGTCTCATAGGTTATCCTCCCAATTTTATGTAGGTCTTGAGTGGTTTGTGTGATAGGAATTCCTGCTAGTGTCTTGAGTCTGATGAAGGGTCAGGTAAGTTGTAAGCTGTGTTTTAGGTGTTCAATTTTCTCCTCTAGGGTAATATCTTATCACCTTATGTACTTCCTGTTTTCTTTAATGATTCCTTTTTCTCTTTATCTTTCAAAAAAAAAAAAAGATGTGACTAAAGAACCTCAAACTCTTATAATAAAATTTGGACATCATATCCAATCTCCCTCTGTTGTTGCTAGTGAATTTGTTTGCATTAATTTATACACCTATATTTACTTTTTTTTATTTTTCTAACAGTTATCCCATTATTTACATGACACCAAAAATATATCATAAAAAATAACTTGAAACTAAAATATAACAGCCTAGTTCCTGGGGCTTATTTTTCAGGCTTGTTGAGTTCAATACCTCATACCCATGTGAAATTCCAATACTAGTACATGATTGATGTAACATGGTGATGCGGGAGCAGTAGGAGAATGACAAAGAAATATTTAATAGAAATCAAAGACGTGTTTTCTATCAATATCAAAGTGAAAAAAGAGCTCCTGGTTAGGTTAAGATAGGGTTTTAGGGATGAAATTAATACAACAATAAGCTGTTTCAAGCAAGTCAATCTAAAGGAATACAACTAATATGAAAAAAGAAGCTAAAATGATGGGTTGATTGGTTGAGAACAATCAATAGTAAAGTTGGAAATAGGCCATAAGCCCCTTAACATGCTTGCTTAAGGCTAAGGAAGTTGGATGGAACCTAAGGTGGCTTAAAAATTATGAAAACAAAAGGGGAACAGCAATAGGCTATGCTGTTTAGTGACTACAAAAACTTTGGAACCAATAAATAGATGAAAGAAGATAATGACAGAATAATAAAAGAAAGGGATATTATCTAAAATTCACCATGACTTTTTGGCATTTCAAACTCACCATGACTTTTTGGCATTTCAAACTCACCGTGACTTTTTCAAACCTCCAGAGAGCCCCATGTGAGTGAGTTTTTATTGTCCAAAACTCACCTTCCATCAGATCACTGTTAATGATTATTAACAGAAGTTGTCCACATAAGCACTAAAATAATTTACATGACCAAATTATCCCTGAATAATTAGCAAATTTCTGGAGGTTAAATGGTACAAGAGGCACAACTATTCTAAATACTGAAATGGAATATCCCCCTAGTAATCTTTTTTGGTAGTCTACCCTCCTGGCTTCTGCATAGAATAGAGTCAACATGGAAGGAGGCCCCGACTAGATCAATCATATTCTCTCTCTTCTTTCGGCATGGCAAGTTTTTCTTCTAGGGTTTTCTCTGTGACTGAGCACTCTATTAGTGCTCATATTGATTTATGTTTTCTATGCAAAAGGATCCTTCAGAGAAACCCATTATAAGTCCCATTCCACATGCACGGTACCCGACATTTGTCTTTCTCATGCTCGCAACTGGTCTAGTTGTAACAACTTCCTTCTTCATGTAGGCAATCGATTCAATTCCATTCGTCTCTCTATAATGGGATTTAGTGTGATTATGTTGATTATTATTGGATGATTAATGAGCACACAGTTCATCCCAATTCACATTTTGAAGTTTAATCAGGACCAGTAAACAAGTTCTATGCATTATTATTGTTCAAACCATTATTATGTGAGACAGTAGATATAATACTCTTGGAACACATAAGCTATAATCCAAACAAAATCCATGGAAGATGATGATTCCTCCTATTGGTTGTCGCCAACACGAAATCTTTCCAATTGGCATCCAAGTTCATGCTAAATTTAGACCCATATCCCTACATTCCATCTAGAAAGTACATGCATTTTGGCCAACAATGGAGATTAAACATTTTCTTATACTCATTGGTTATGTTGTCTTAAAACCCGAATTTGAAAACGTTTGAAGTTTTCTTAATCAATAAAAAACATTGGCAAATAACATCATGGATATTAAGGATCTATGTACTCTGTTTCACAAACAGAGTACCCTAATTTGCTTGAGTGTTTGAACAGTTATTACTGTTCAAAATATTAGAGAGAGTAGGAAATAAATGGAAATGAGTTCTCCTTGTCCTGCTACTGTAGAGAAGAGGAAGGAGGGAGGATGAGGAGGAGAGAGAGGCACTTATGGTTAGGTTGTCAGGTGGAAGAAGATAATGAACAGTGTTTTTCCTAGCACCATGGACTCCAACAAGAGATCAATATTTGGAGGGTAGTATGGGAAATTTGATAAAATTGACTATCTTTTAACGGTAGATCACTGACATGGGGCTTCGTGGAGATTTTGAAAAGTTTTGGTGAGTTTTAGATAATATCCCTAAAAGAAATAAGGGTAAGGGATAGATTCAACAATGAAGAAAGGGAAAAACAATAAAAATAAATGATAAAGGCAGGTTCGGTAAACTAATTATGCAACCAAGAAATAAAGGACCTGTCCAGTATTGGTCTATCTAGTTTCTAGGATCATGGGAGTGGTGGACTGGATACAGACCTAAGCTTTGGCATTGTTTTGCACAAAATGGCCATTACTTTGTCAGCCTGAGGTTTTACTATTAAACTATGCAATTGCCCCTGATATAAAATCTCATTAACCATTCAACAAATGGGCCCTCACTACCATAGAAAACTGTAATAGCCATGTAACACATCCATAATTAATAATTCAATGAACAAGCCCTTACAAACTGCCAGCCAATAATGATCCTCCAATACAAAAAATTCCCTATCCCACCAATGGCCAGGCTATCTGCAGAGAAATTTGCATCTTCATTACCAACTTCATCTCTTCATCAAGGAAGCCAACCCCTTACTAAAATATATGGTCCACCAGCTGAATAGCATATTCATTCTAAGACTACGATAGAATTGACTTATACCCTCAGTCTAATTCAGTTGCATTGGTAATGCAACTATAAAGAAGTTTAACTCTACTTCATCTACCGCACTCTTAACTCTAAATGCAATTTTAGTTCAATCTCTCCCTTTTGATTGACAATCAAACCTACATATGGGGAATGGCTGCTTCCATACATTACTTAGGCATCAACCTTGATCGTTCCCTTATTTATTATAAACGAACGAAAAATGAAGTTCATAAATAGTTTTATGTTGGCCCGACCTATTAGTTTGTTTCTAGAATATATCTACATACTTCTTGTTTTTGTACTTCACCTTTCTCTAGACTCACCAGTCAAGGTTAAGTAATCAACATACACCACAATACAAGGGACCTCCTCCGTTAGAGGCCTGCACAAACAGAGCAAAAGCCCCATCCACACACAGAGAGCCTCCATAGTCCAGTTAATTCCTTGTATCTCCTACGGGCAGTGTAGTGCCTAATAGAATGAATTAATTATGTATTAATCAGCTAATCCTAATCGAGTATAGCAGTATTTCGGTTACTAGACAGGAGAATTCGCAATTGTATAGCTAAAACATCTAATCAAACCAACAACTAAACGAAGCCCTAATCAACGGAAAATTACTATATAATCTCCTAGATGGTCTCCCGCCAACGCTAGCGCCCCCGTGTTTTCTGCAAATTTCTCAACTCCACTTCTTTGAATCACATGCCCTAAATATTTCTAATGTTATTTTTTTTCATGGGAAATATTTGCACCAAAAAATCTCTGAATCCGGCATAATTAAACTAGTTTTGGACTAAGAAACTGAACTTACTCTTGATTTCGCAAGGTCCAGAATCGGGTGAATCGGGCTTGAGCAGGAGATGATCTCTCGAACTTGCATCGACGTCTTCATCGATCGGAGAAACTGAAGACTCGAAAGTGATAGAATTCTCTAGACATCCCTGCTCGACGATCCAGTTAGTGGAAAAGCTGCAGGAAGAGCTGCTGTTCTCTGCTTCCATTCTCCGCTGTCTTTCTTCGCTGTTACGTTTGGGAAATAAGTGAACCACTTTGTAGATTGCCGCGGTGTAGGGCAATGTCGTAATTTATAGAACTTTCGTGGTTTATTTTGCTGCTCCGTTCTAGGGGTGCAAATCGATCGGATCATGATCCGATCCGAGATTCGATTTTATTTGGCCGATTCGGATCATCCCTGTTCKATATTCGGATCGGATTCGGGTAATCTCTATCCGATCTGAGAAGATCCGATCCAATATATTTAATATATAATAGATATATATGTTATTTATTTATTTATTTATAAATATATTATTTATATTGTATTTTTATAAATTTGTTATATTATTTATTTTTTTATAAAAAACATGAATATATATGATGAAAATAATTAAAACATACTTGTATTTTTTGTTTTTTATTTAAATTGGTATATTTTATTTTTCTTTTAAGAGTTTTTTAATTTTTAAAGAAAACAAGTCGGATTGGATCAGATCCAAAGATCTAACTTACTGATAGGATTCGAATTCAAATCAAGGCCTATCAAATTTGATCAAATCTTCGGTTCTAATCGAATCTAACATGAACAATGTTAGATCATATTCGGATATACCCTGAGTCGAATCCAATCCAATCAGTTTGCATCCCTAGTTTGTGCTACATCTTAAGCAATGATGCAATGGTTCGGGTTATGGATAACCCATAGTAGGGCCGAGTCAGTCTTAATCGGGTGTTACTCGGGTTCATATTAATGTGAGACCGTTTCGTTGGACATAATTGAAATCATATTCACTTTTTTTATAGACCATTTGAGTGAACGGTCATTCCCTCCTTTATTGGAAATGATAATCTCATTCCAATTTATTTTAGTTTTGATTTTAATTGCTATCTAATCTAAATAGACAAAAGGAATAAATCATTTTAATTTCGATTTTGAGGGATTTCGAATCTAATTCAGATTCAAATCCAACTACAAACCAAATTGACTCAAAATGTTTGTAAATATAGGCCATGTTGAGTATATGGAATAGAGAGGGGTGGGTTTGATATCCACTATTTATTCAAGTTGGGTTGAGAACTTGAGATTGCTTTGGGTTGGTTTAGGTTGAGGCAAACTCGCACCAAACCCTAACCTATTGGCATCCCTATTTATAATGTTAGTGCAATTTGTACAAGAGGTAACACAACATATTTGGGGTGTGTCTAATTAGGGCAACCACACCAAGAAAGAACTATTTATATTAAAGAATGTAAAAGGACACTTTTATCCTYATACTACAATAAATGTACAAGAAATAAAGAATAGAAAATCACTGACACAATAAGAAAGTAAAATTACTATTGAGCCCTCACTATCACTATCTCTACACTCTCCCTCAAACTAATAAAGGGGTATCATCATTAGTTTGTCCATAAGAAAAGAATCTTGGGCCTTAGTCATCAAAATTAGATGATACATGAAGCAATAAAACACAGCTAGAAGTGAGGTTATCCCATATAAAATGACAATCCACCTCAATATGCTTTGTCTTTTCATGGAAGACAAGATTATAAGCAATCTTGATTGCACTTAGATTGCCAACCAATTAAGGAACAAGAGAGGACTAAGTAACATTCAAACCATGTAAAAGTGACTAGAGCCAAATAATCTCACAGCATACTGAGGACATGGCCCTATATTTTGTTTCAATGGATGACTTTAAAATAGTTTGTTGMTTTTTGTATTTCCATGAGATAAGAGAATCACCTAGAAATATGCACCACCTAGTAGTAGATCTTCTGGTGTCTGGACAACCAGCCCAGTCAACATCCCCATATGCAAAGAGTTGAAGTGAAGAGGTGGATGGGAAAAACATGCCATAAGATATTGTTCCACGGGTATATCTGATGATACGGTGTACAAGTGTTATGTGAGATTGGTGTGGAGCATAAACAAATTGACTCATTATCTGAGTTGCATATGAGATGTTTGAGCAAGTCATTGTGAGATATATATATGCCTACCCACAAGCTGATGATACAAGGTGGCATCTTCAAGAAGAGGAACATCATCCTTGCTTAGTTTCAAGTTGATTTCTATGGGAGTATTAACATTTGTATCAATAAGATGAGCAAGACTGACAAGATTAGTCACACATTCCTACTGATTAAGGAAATAACCACTAGAATTATGATAAACTTCCAAGCCTAAGAAGTATATAACTAGACTTAGATCTTTCATCTTAGACTATTGACTAAGTAATTGTTTAAGTTGATGTATACCATCATAACCACTATAATTATGTTGTATTTCCCTAAGACCTCTGAGATATAAAGAGAGAACATTTTGAGGAGCTCTGAATGAATCCAATATCAATAATCATATATTTAAACCTCTCAAACCAAGCACGAGGGGCCTGTTTAAGGCCATAAAGGGATTTCTTGAGTCTGAAAACAAGGTGGGATTGATTACAATACCCAAGAGGAGGCTTTATGTACCCAACCTCCTTTAAGTCCCCATGCAAGAAAGCATTCTTGACATCCATTTGGTGAATAACCCAATTTTTTACTATAAAAATGACTAATAGAAAATGAATAGTTATCATCTTGGCTACCAGAGCAAATATTTCCTCATCTTGGCTAGCGAAGGGTGGATCACTTCCGCCTATGCAACAAGTCTAGCCTTATACCTATCCAAGCTGCCATTAGATTTTAACTTCATAGAGTACACCCATTTGCTCCCTATAACTGATGCATTGGGAGGAGGTTGAACCAACTCCCAAGTGTCATTCTCTATAAGAGCAGCCATTTCAAYACCATGGCATCCCTCTAATGAGTGTGTGCTACAGCTTGCTAGTAAGGCTTGGGGATATCTAAAGTGGACAAAACAATAGAGGAGCTATAGTCTGAAGGAAAGCCATAGCGGTTAGGGGGTCTAGACACTCTAGTGGAGTGACACAAAGTAGGAACATTAATGTGAATGGAAGGAGATGGTGTACTTATAAAGGTAGGAGAAGGTGTGGTACCATGCTTTGGAAAAGGAAAGGCTAGGAGCATAGGAGCTGGAGATGTTAGTCACTCCTTGAAATAAAGCCGATGCAACAAATGAGAGGAGGGTAATATTTTTGAGATACCTGTAGGCTCAAAGTGTGAATCCCTTGTGATCATAACTATGTCTCAAGAAAGCACATAAAACAGATTGTGCGGACAATTTAGTATGCTCATGAGGAGGAAGATGAACAAAACAGATGCACCAAACACATGAAGCATAAATAAGTGGGAAGGAGACTTAAATAGAAACTGATGTGGAGATACATTATCAAGACAGATGATGGAAGAAGATTGATGAGATGTACAACACTGCTAGCTACCTCCACCCAAAAGGTTGTAGGAGCATGAGAATAAAAAAAGTAGTGTTCTAACAATACTCAGGATATGACCATTTTTGTGTTCAATAACTACATTTCGTTGGGGTTCTAGGACAGGACTTTTGAGATTGTATATCATTTTGTTGAAGACAGGCCTGGAACTCCCCATCAATATACTCTCCCCCTAAGTATGAAAGGGTACAAATGGTGGTTTTAAATTATGTAGTCACTCTCTCACAAAAAAGTTTAAACATAGCAAAGGCATTTGATTTTTTTCAAAGAAAGTATATCCATGTATAACAAGTGTGATCATCAATAAATGTTATGAAATATCTAAAACCCGTCTTGAAAATTATTGGAGATGACCAAACATCTTGAAATGGTGCAAAAGTATGAGTAGTAGAAATAGGAAATGGTAAAACATGACTTTTACTTAAGCAACATGACATGCAAGTTCTATTCCATTTTCTTGGAATAAGTAAATCAAGTTGCTTTGCAAAAGAATGGCCTAACTGATGGTGCCAAAGGTTCCAATCATTATTACAAGATAAAGAAGTAGCAAAAATAAACATGAACTAATTGTTGGAGAGGTAGATCCCTTCTCAAATTCTAGAGCAAATAGTCGTCCCAATCTATGCCCCTTCCCCTTCACCTCCCCAATGCATTAGTCCTATATCAAACAACCATCAGATGAGAAGGTGACAGTGTGATCATGTTCAACAAGTTGTCCTACTAAAATTAAGTTTGTTGTAAGTTTAAGAACAAATTAAATCTGAGGTAATTTGAAGGGGGAAGAGCAAGAGGTAGATAAAGTGAGATCATTATAACCAATAATGTCAAGTTTTTCACCATTGGTTGTAATAATGTATTTATTAGAAGGAAGAGGATAAGATGACTGACCACATGTAGCTCCCATCATATGATTGGAATCACCGCAATCTATTATCCAGAGATAACTAGGATAAACACAATAGTAAGCATGCTTATAGACAAGCCAAAAGCAGAAGCAAAAGAGATTGCCGAGGACATCATCTACCAAATCTTTTCTTTAGTTAGAGTATTTGTAACATTTGTCTTAGTCTCAGATGTTAGTCTTCCTTTGACACTAAACTAATTCCCACACTAAACCCACTCTGATACCATGTTAATGTAGTTTGTACAAGAGCGAAAACAATAGATTTGGGGTGTCTTATTAGGGCAACCACACCAAGAAAGAACTATTTATGTTCAAGAATGTAAAAGGACACTTTTGTCCTTATAGTACAATAAGTTATATACAAGAAATAAAGAATAGAAAATTTTTGATACAATAAGAAAGTAAAATTACTATTTAGCCCTCATTATCACCATCTCTACACATAATACTTGATTTATTCTTAATCGGGTCGGTTTGTTTCTTGCGAATATTTTACCACAAAGGCATGTATATGGATTTACCAAAAATAAATAAACATGTCAACTCATTCAGGGTGACCCAAATTCGACCCATTTATAGTTTGATCAAATACGAATCTACCCCTATTTGACTGATCTGATTTGATTTGAATATGTATTGATATATACTTAAATCTTATATTCAATAGTAAAATTGAATAGAGTATTGTGGTTTTACTAGTAGGTTCAAGTCCCATGTAAGTTGTTATTCAATTTATTTTGTTTTGTGATATATAATATATCATTTTTAG